TTTCCTGCCTGGCCCACAGCTGCTCAGACCCAACCAAGTAAACACACAGAGACTTATATTGCTTACAAACTGTATGGCCGTTGTATCTAGTTCTTCTATCTTAAATTAACCCATTTCTGTTAATCTATAAGTTGCCATGTGACTTGTGCCTTACCAGTACCTTACATCTCACTTGTCATGGCAGTGGCTGGCAGTGTCTCTCTGACTCTACCTTCCTGTTCCCAGAATTCTCCTCTCTGCTTGTCTTGCCTATACCTCCTGCCTGGATACTGGCCAATCAGTGTTTTATTTATTAACCAATCAGAGCAACACATTTAACATACAGAATATCCCACAGCAGGGTCTCACTTCCCTTAATCTTAACCTTGGGAGACAGAGGCAAGTAGTTCCAGGCCAGCCTAGTCTACAAAGCCGGTTCCAGGCTAGCCAGGGCTACACAGTGAGACCTTATCTCAAACATCAACAAACTACAAAAACAACTTTAGAAGAACTTGATGTATTTTTTACATTATGTTACTCCTTAAGAAATTCTGAGTTGAATCCAGTGACATGAATCAAATTATTCTTAATATAAAAGTTTTAAATGTATCTATGATGAAATTGTGGAATACAGAAATTGTTTATATAAAATATGTACCATAACTGTTAATATTTTTCTTCCCAATTATAAATAAGAAATTTTAGTCATGTTTAGTGAAGTATTCTAATAATTATATTGAATGATAAATATAAACCATCTCAAATTATTTTGATATTTTATACCAACAAATGTTCATGCTTTGCCTTTTTTGTTTTTTTCACTTTGGTTTCTGTTGTAGAATATTATTTTAAGTGTGTTACTTTTATTTATGTTGCATTTGTTTAACTCTGTGAAGCTGTGTTACTGTTGCTGTCTAAAACTAACCTGATGGTCTAATAAAGAACTGAACCTGAACAGCCAATAGCAAAGCAGGAGAAAGGATAGGCGGGTTGGCAGGCGGGGATAGAATATATAGAAGGAAAAATCTCGGGGGAAGAAGTATCCAGAGAAGGAGGAGGACATCAGGAGCCAGTGACCCAGCTATAAAGTAAGCCACAGAGTAAGAAATAGTGAAAAGTATACAGGAGTAGAGAAAGGTAAAAGCCCAAAGGCAAAAGCATTTTAAACAGGATAATTTAAGTAAAGCTGGCTAGCAACAAGCCAAGCTAAGGCCAGACATACATAATTAAGAATAAGCCTCCATGTATGATTTATTTGGGAGCTGGGTAGCAGGCCCCCTAAAAGAGCAAAAACAAACAACAACAGGTTTCCTACCCTTTTTATTTTTGGATATCCTTGGGAGACCTGGAACTCAGAGATCTCCCTGACACTGCTTCCTGAATGCTAAGGTCAAAAGATGTGCCACCGTGCCCAACTCTTTTTATATATTTGGTTAATATAGTCGGTCAGTATCTATAAGCCATAGCTTCATACGGTATTATAGTTCTGTCTTGAAATAATGCAGCAGGTAGATAATTATAGTTGTACAGAGTATATTTTATTTTCCTGACTCATTTCTTAGATTTGGGGTATTTGTATTTTATATTTGTTATTGCATATCATTGTAGGATAAACAGCTTTTTACATGGAATTTTTTATGTTTTGCGGATTCCTCTGGGATAATGTACCTGAAATAGAATTTTATAATAATGAGTGGTGTGTGTGTGTGTGTGTGTGTGTGTGTGTGTGTGTGTGTAGAGAGAGAGAGGGGTGGGAGGAGAGATTGATTTTGGGTGTATATTGTCAAATTACTTTCTGAGAGATTCCTGTCAGTTCTCAAAATTTTTATCTCTTTGTTAATGTTGAGTATAATTCATACACTCAACTAATTGTTTTATGGAGAAATCTCTTTATATGTATTTGATTCATTGCTTTTCAACATTTATCATTTTTTTCTTATTTTTATTGTACATTTGTCTGGCCCTTAATGCTTTTGTTTATTTGTGATAAAGGTAGACTTGATCAATATTAAATTTTTCTTAATTTTTAATTAGTTACACTTTTAATTTGTTTTTATTTTTACGTATGAAACTTCATTTTTTAATATACTTCAGATTATTTATTCTTTTTTTTTTTTCTTAGTTTTTCAAGACAGAATTTCTCTGTGTAGCTCTGGCTGTCCTGGAACTCACTCTATAGATCAGGATCGCCTTGAATTCACAAAGATTTGCCTGCCTCTGCATCCCGAGTACTGGGATTAAAGGCGTGCGCCACCACATCTTGGCAGATTATTCATTCTTTGTACCTCAGTTTTCTAGAAGCTAATAAATAGTTACTTGTGGGGATATTGAATTGTAGTTTTTGATCCTTCCTATACCCCCTCTGTAGCATAAAATATACTTTCCCATTGTCTTTTAACATCCTTTATTTTATAAGAAATTTGGTGTTAGTTTCCTTTTCAGATAATCTTTTATTTATTTTTAAGTTCTTTTTTAATATAAAATTTTTAAATTCTAAATAAGTATATATTCATATCTTCATTCTCTGGTAAGACTATATAGGGTTTAGAGAAGTCTGAATTGTGTTTTTCTTCTTGTTTGAAAACTAACTACTTTTCCTTCATTATTGCTGGTCTCTTATTCTGAAATTTCTAACTGATGGCTGTTAGGCCATCTGAGCAGATCTTTTCATTTGTGTTTAATATTTTATGTCATTTTTATGATCTGCTTTTTCATTGTTTTCTTATTTATTGATACCCATTTTTATTGTGCTAGTGCCTGTCCAACTAGTCATTTTTGAGAAGTTTCCACATTGGTAAATTGATGAAAACTGCTTTTCTGTTCTTGCTCTTTCCACGTAATTAGACAATCAAGTTTTCCTAGGATAGTTGTTGGTAAGAGTTCCTCACAAAGTAAAACATGGAAGAAAACATTTGATTCAAGAGCGATACACACACTGAACAACAATGAGGATGTGTCCATAAAACTTATATATGCATTCATAGTAGGAGAAAAAGATAGAAGCACTTCATGTATCCATTAACACATAGATTCATAAACAAATGTGGTATAATAAATGCCTAGCACAGATATTATTAGCCTTGTCCTAATCAGTGTTCTATTGCTGTGAAGAGACACCATGACTGTGCCAACTCTTACAAAGGAAAGCATTTAATTGGGTCTGGCTTACAGTTGGGGGGTGTCCATTATTTTCCTGACAGGGAGCCTGGCAGCCATACAGATGGACATGGTGCTGGAGAAGATTAGAGTTCTACATCCAGATCTGCAGACAGCACAAAGAGAGGAGGAGCCACTAGGTCTGACTTGGGCTTTTGAAACTCCAAAGCCTACACCCAGTAATACCTACTCCAACAAGGCCTCACCTCCTAATCCTTTCAAACAGGGCCATGTCCTAAGCATTCAAATGAATGTACCTATGGGAGTCATTCTTACTCAGACCTCCGAAAGCCTTGAAAGTCGTGTTTGTGAAAGGGTCTAATTACCAAAACCCATGTGGTATATAATTCCATTTGTATACAAATTGTCCAGAATGGGGAAAAATATAGACAAAATATGCATTAGTAGTTGAAGTTGTCAGGTGCTGGAGAGATTTGGTTTTGAAGAGTATTGACTTTTTGTTCTGAAGTTAATTGTGGCGACAGTTGCACAAAAGTGAATATAATCCACGCAGTTGGGTGCTGTATTAAGTGAGTGAACTGTTGGCGTGTGTGTGTGTGTGTGTGTGTGTGTGTGTGTGTGTGTGTGTGTGTGTGTAACGTAAGTTCTTTGTTTCTTTGTTTTGTTTGCAATGTAGCCATTGACCTTTGGGTCTCCCATGTGCCTGGCAAGCTCTCTGCCACGGAGCTGTCTTCCCAGCCTATTATTTATGTCTTAAAAAGCTGTTAGGAAGAAAGAAGGAAGGTGGGAGGGAGTGGAAGGGAAGAAGAAAATAGGAAGACTGGGGGACAGAAAGAAGTAGAACAACCTGAGCACATTACTTAGTCCTGGGTAGTCCAGGGTTCTTTACATTGTTCTTAGAAGTGTTTTTCTATGACAGATGAAACTTTCAGATTTAACACTGAGCTTAAGGTGGAAATAGTTTTACAAATACAGCACTTACAACACATATTTTACTGTGTCTCCCATTACTACCTATCCAGTATTATTTTGTTGCACCTTTGAAATTCTGTTCTAATTTTCGAAAATTTTACTGTTATATAAAACATAATTTTTGAAATTCAGTAAGATGTGAAATGAGCCGGGCGGTGGTGGCGCACACCTTTAATCCCAGCACTCGGGAGGCAGAGCCAGGTGGATCTCTGTGAGTTCGAGGCCAGCCTGGGCTACAGAGTGAGTTCCAGGAAAGGCGCAAAGCTACACAGAGAAACCCTGTCTCAAAAAACCAAAAAAAAAAAAAAAGAAAGAAAAGAAAAGAAAAGATGTGAAATGAGAAGTGAACACCTGCTTCCTCATTTATTTTGAATTGTAAAGATATAATTTTTAGGTCTTTCATAATGATTGCAAGGACATTTTTTTTTTTTATCCTGTAGAAAATCCTTGTGTGAATTAGGGGAAAACACTCACTTTTTACGTTTTATATAATTCCCAATTAGAACTCTGTTGGGGTTTTGGTTATATCTTGTTTTGCTGTTTGAGACAGGGTCTCCTGTAGCTCAGACTGCCCTTGATCTCGCTGTGTCACCTGAGTAACCTTAGATTCTGACTTCCTGTCGTTATCTCCTGGGATTACAGACTACACCATCCCATTCCGCAGGATTCTGGCTTTGAATAGCCAATTTGCCATATGTGACCTTCATTTGGCAAATCTGTTAATTTTATTTTACGGTCTATTTAGTATAATGGCTTAGTTTAGATAGTACATATTTTAGATTCTTAATGTTATGTGTTTACAGAAGAAATTTAATTCATTTTTTGAATGCAAATAAATGATTTTAGGATTCTACTAATTATATTTTAATTAGAATTTGCAGTTTGTGAAACTGGCATATGCTAACTTACCTTCTCCTGTGATTTCCTTGTAGGTTTGATGAACTTGTAAAAAAATTCAAAGTTGAATATCATGCTGGTGGCTCTACCCAGAATTCAATTAAAGTGGCTCAGGTTAGTTAATTATATTAAAAATTAAAATAAAAATGTTTCAAAATGATTCTGAACTTTTGGTTTTATTACATAATTTTTTCCATTTGCTTTTATTGTTACAAAAACACTTTTGTTCATTTTCACTTGAGTCTTTAACAACACAGGTAATAAAAATAATTTTAATTATTTCTTTGATAAACTCAGAAAGAATTTAGTATATTTATTCATTGCTTTTTTTTTTACATCTTATTGGTTTGGAGAACTTATTTCATGGATAACCATAATTTTTATTTTATATGTGAAATGTTTTTCTTGTTTGTTAATTGTATCTGATTTTGCTTATAATATCAACTACTTTGCCTCGTTCATCCCTCTGTCCTCAGTTCAATCCCTGTACAGACTTGGCTGGCCTAGAACTTATAATGTAGATTAGGTGGGCCTAAAGCTTCTGGCAATCTTCTTGCTTTTGGCTCTGGAGCACTGGAATTACAAGTGTGTACTACTAATGTAATTGAGAAATTTTTCATTTTATAGAGGTGATTGCATGCACCCGTAATTTCAGGTATTTTATATGCTGATTCAGGAGGATCATGAATGTGAGGCCAGCCTGGGAAACAGTGTAACCCCATTTCCAAACAAAACAAAACTTTATGGATTTTTCATTTTATGTGATGTATAGAAATGATATTGCTACAATATATTAACATTCTTCATTATATAATTACATGGATATAAATATATGTATCTTTTTGTTTGTTTTGTTTCATTTTTATATTGTGATAGAGCCTTACCGTGTAGGTCTGACAGGCCTAGAAATCACCCTATAGGCCATAGTGGCTTCAGATTTAGAGATCCACCTCCCTTAGCCTCTTGAGTGCTGAGATTAAAGGCATGAACCACCACTACTAACCATCTATATTTATCTTTCTAACCATTTCAATGTCAATATCTAAGCATGTGTTTCATGTACTTATATACACATGTATTTTTATTTGCATATGAATCTATATACTTTAGAACTATCCAAGGCATTCATTCATTCAGTAGTATTGGAATAAACAGATTTTTGAAATATTGTTTGATTCAACAGCTAATCTAATGTTAAGAGTTAATGTTAGTGTCTGGAGAGAAGGCTCAAAGGTTAAGAGCACTGACTGCTCTTCCAGAGATCCTGAGTTCACTGCCCAGCAACCACATGGTGGCTCACAACCATTTATAGTGGGATCTAATGCCATCTTCTAGAATAATATGTACGTGAAGATAGAGCACCCACATTAAAAATATCTTAAAAACAAAAAAAGTTAATGTTAATTTTCAAGCTCCAATTTAGAAGGATATGAAAAAGCTAATCACTACAATTTGAAAGTTACCTTAATGTCTTACTCTGTAATCATAGTTTAGTTTTTATTGACTAGGGTCATTCTTGTTTGTTTGTTGATGAATGCTTTCTCTTTGAGTTCTAATTCACTTGAAGGAATGGAGAAATGAGAAATGAAATCCAGCGAGTTCCCTCTTTCTTTCCCTCCTTTCTTTCCTTTTTATTAACTCTGACTTGATTTAAATGTACAATTGAATTACTCTACCTACATCTAAAGTTCAAAGGTTATAATAGTTAAGCTACATATATTAATGTTTGAGATGGTGATTTTGAAATGACTTAAGAAGATCTTTGTCAACTTACTTCTAATGTTTGATTCTGATTGAGCTCTAATGAATTTGGCATAAAAGGACAGAAGAAGCAAAAATCAAATGTAGTAGCCCAGGCCCATCATATCAGCTGCTCAGGAGTCACAATAGAAGGATCCCAAGTTCAAGGCATGCCTTGGCTACATAGTGAATTTGAGGCCTGGGAAACATGGCAAAACTATTATCTGAAAATATAAAGTAATTTGGGGTACCTCTGGTTTAGTATTTGAAGACTTTTTAAATTTCAAAAAATGGTGTTGCACTTGCATGGTGGGCCATTCTTGTGATATTAGCACTCAGGAGTCAGAAGCAGGAAAAGCAGATATTCAAAGCCAGTTAGGGCTACAACACAAGATTCTCCCGACTCTTTTTTTAGGTCCAATGAGATGGTTGAGAGGCACTTTCCTCTAAGCTTGACAATGCTTGAAAATCTGAATTCTGTCCCCAGGATTCATATGATGGAATGAAATAATCTTTTCCTAAAAATTTCCATTGGCTTCCATATATACACAATGCACACCATACACAAAATAAAGTGTGATTTGTTTTTAAAATTTGAATACATGGAAAAAAGTCTTGGGCTATATAGCTATATAGCTCAGTGCTTGCTTAGCATGCATAAGGCCCTGGGCTCTGTCCCCAAAGTCACATACACAAAAGAATGACTTACATTTTGATTTTGGATATTACAAAATACACTGATCAAATAGATTAAATAACAATATTTTTTTCTCAGATAAGGACCACGAAGTCCACTATCCAAACAAGCAAATGAAATAAGGAAAATAAAATTCATTAGCAAGGATCTGGACAATTGGACACCCTTTGTCCTTGGGAGGAGAATATTTATGGTGTCACTGCTGTGATGCTTGTTCTTCAGTGAATTAAAGCTGATATTAACCACATGACCCAGGTGTTCCATTTCTGCATATGCTGATTTGTTTATGTCCTCCTAATACTCATAGTTTGAAGCACCAATTCTCCCATGTAATGGCATGTGGAAATGAGACCTTTAGGGAGGTAACTAGAGTTAGATAATGTCCTGCAGGTGGACCCTGAATAAGTGGATCAGTGTTCTTATAAAAGATGCCTAGAGAGCTTCTATTGTGTTCTCTCTCTCTCTCTCTCTCTCTCTCTCTCTCTCTCTCTCTCTCTCTCTCT